CACAGGTGTGCCTCTTTCGAAAAGGGAAAACCACGTTTTCTGTTTTTTTTTCTTTCGCGAGAGGCACGATTTTGTTTCCGCGAGAGGCACGGTTGTACTTTTCGCGACAGGCACGGGCGTGCCTCTTTCGGAAAGGAAAAAAACGTGTTTTTTATTTATTTATTTTGCGAGAGGCACGGTTTTGCTTCCGCGAGAGGCACGATTGTGATTTCGTCAGAGGCACGGGCGTGCCCTTTTCGGAAAGGGAAAAAACCCGTGGTCCCGGTTCGGTTTTTTCGTCGGTTTTTTTCGTTCGGTTTTTTCGTGAAAAAAAAGTTCGTCAAAACCTATCAACATGGGATCTAGTTTTGAAGATCTCGACGCGAGGAATCCAACGGCGAAAGCGGTTCGAGATTTGGACGTACGGTTTAAGAGATAAAACATTTTGAATAAACGAATCTACGAAAAAAGGGAAAACTCACAGGTTGCGACAAGTGATGCACATGCAGCGCGCCACTTGTTGCAACCTGAAGAAGTTGGAGTAATCTTCGCAAGGAGTACTCCTTAACTAATGATTTCGGAGAAAGCCACTCTATGGACCTCGCAAAAAAAACAGTCCATGGATCGTGGGACGGCGGTAGCTTGGGAGGGCTCCGCCATTTTCCAAACCAACTGTTCACCGCCTCTACCCCCGACCTGCTCTGCACGCACCCACGGCGGTTCCCCTTCCCCGGAGGAGAGCGTAGTCCGGTGGCTTTGCAAAAGGAGAATAGGTTGTCCCGCCGGCGGGACCCAATTCAGGAGAAGTGGTGGAGCCAAGTCCGACCTCGACCTGAGCACCAGGTCATCGCTCGGTCGCGCCGACGCACTCCGCGAGCTCAAGGACTGTGTTTCTCTCCTCTCCATTCTTTATCTCCCTGATTGAAAGGATCTAGAGATCTCACCGGCCGCCGTTGAGTCATCATGGTCTAGGTACCATCGACCTCCTCTTCAAGTTTGTTCAGTCCGGTCCTCCTAATTCATGTGCCCATGAGCTGAAGCTCTGCCCCTTTCCTCTCTCGAACATGGCCGCCTACATCCACCTGGTGACTTTTCTACCTATTTTTGATAGACTGAAATTTGTTTGTGTTGTCAAGAGTGCATCAGTTTTTGTCTTATGACTTTGGCATCTAAACCGGGGTGGTAAGTTGTGATGGGGCAATTACTTTCAAGAAATCACTCGTGCCTATTGTGATGAGAGCAGAACGAAATTACCATCCAGGTGAGGCCTCACCATATAAGAAACTCTACCTACTTTCATCCATGATCATGAGCTCCATCAAACCATATTATTTTTTTCCTCTGCAGAATTCCCTTTTGTGAATCAACTTTAGTTGTATAGCCTGATTGCCTTACAAAACTCATTGAAGTTTCAAAGGTATGTGATAAAGATTCTGTCCTAGAATATACTAGCTTTGTACCACAATACATGATGACCAAACCTTACCTTCAGAAAAGTTCTTGTTCTGTTCCTCAGAGTCTTACCCGCAGCTAGTAGTTCGTCCAAACATTATACCCAAGCCTCTATTCCAGGCAAGGTTTTTGCTTCAAGATTTTGAACTAGTGTGCGGCTTCTCTTGGTGCATCTCCTGGGGACCTAGCAATTTTCCAGCGATTTTGTTCCTGGTCAACCTACCGTTCTGTCGGGCGGTGGCCTCCATCTCTTGACTCACATGCATGCAGTCTGTGGTGGCTAGCTGTTTTTTTTTTCTTTTAATAATTGGATGTGTTGCCTTGACCTCTCTACCTCTCTCTCGAAGACTCCGTCGCCCACCGCCCACCGCCCGCCGCTTACCCGCCGCCCACCGCCCACCCCGCCGCCTGCCGCTTTGCCACCGCCCTAGCCCCCCAGCGCATCGCCCTATAAGAAGGGTCCCGGCCTCGCTCTTCCAAAGGGATCATGGGCTGCCGGGGGGCTCCGCCGAGCCACGATGAGGGGCCTCTCCAGGAGAGGAGCTGTGTTCCTGCATCAACCTCGATGTTTGAGGGATGGGGACAATGAGGCAACTCGAAGAGCGGCAGCACACGCAGCGCGGGGGATGCGGAGATGACCACAGCCGGTGTGTAGGGTAGATTTCGCCGGCCTCTTCCGGCTTTCCGTTTGCTCAGATGTGACCGCGATGTGCTTCTTCGTCACCGTCGTCATCCTCTGCAGAGCCGAGCCGTCGGAAGTAGAGTCAAGCAGCTGGAGAGGCAGGCAAATCAAACCCGATGCTGCCGGCAACGTTGTCTACGCTGCTCTGAAGGTTAACCCCGATGTGCTTGATTCTTGAATCCTTCTTGATCCTGATGTTGTTATCAAATATCAATATGCATCTGTTGAGTTGAACATGAGTACCTGGTCACTTCATAGGGACATGATCAAATTTGTGTTGTATTTTCTTCTTCTTTCTGAAATAGACCAGCCTTGTGGCTGAAGAAAATCTGTAGAACAAACTCCCTTCTATTAATTAGAGATAATCTAATGTCCTAAAATGCAATTTTTTTTCTGTTGTCTCAACCTTCTTGCTAAATTTAAGAAGATTCTACAACGGACACAGGCAGAACAAACTGCATCTTTAATGTTTTGCTGATTTTTTTTGTCATATTCAGTTTCATGTAACGTGCAAGAAAGATATGCTTCCTTCTCCTCACAAATATTCTGAACTTTGCAGGTTCTGTGACCATGCACCTGAAGACGTGCCAGAGGCCATTGTCGCCACCCTTGAAGAGCTTTTACAGCAACTTCTGTGTTGATCTTGTTCGACCACCTCCTCCTGTACTATCTTCTCCTCAATCGTGGTGATACTATATTTGGCTTGCTCTTCTTTTGGTGATACCATTCATCTTCTTGCAGCTTCTCTAATGGATTAAATTGTTCTTTCAGACTTATGCTAGGAAATATTTTGATAGCCGTGAATCGATTTCAAAGACTTGCACTCCTCAATAATAACCACATGATGGGAATTTACAAAGGAGCAGAATTTGGTGAGCCGATCCCGCGTACAGCTGTGTTTGTCTCCCCATCCAATATTTGTTTAAAATATTTTGCATAGTCATCATAAGAGAACACCCTATGTTTTTTCTGCCCAGGCTTATGATCAATGATCCTATCAGCCAACCAACATTAGTAAGTGGAGAGAGTGGAGCTGGCAAGGCAGAAAGCACTAAAAGTCTTATGCAGTATCTTGCTTTTATGGGCGGTAAACCTCAAGCTGAGGGAACGTCAGTGCAACAACAAATTCTAGAGGTGTGTTCCTCTGTGGAACTTTGCACCCTTCTTTTGTTGGTAGAACAAACACATTTGGCATGAGTTTCTGACATGCTACTTATCTGACACAGTCAAATTCTGTGATCGAGGCATTTGGCAATGCAAAGTTAGGAATAATAATTCTAGGTAATGAACCTGAATGTGATGCATCCTCCTTTACTTCTTGGATGTCTATTAATTAAGTTACACAACTTCACTATGTTTACTATCTTCAAAGAACTTTTGCTCTACATCGTACCTTTCTTGATTCTGCAATCATTTTGGCAAATTTGTTGAGATTCAGTTTGACCAGAACGGGAAGATTTCCGTCAGGACTTATCTTTCTGGAAAGGTCACGTGTTTGTCAAATATCTAACCCAGAAAGGAACCACCACTGCTTATCCATGATGTGTGCTGCACCACCAGAAGTAAGATCATGTTCAGTATATATGGCCTTCTTTTAAAGTTTTTTGGAACCACATTATTTGTGAACTACTACATTTTGTTCGCTAATGTCGTACAAGAATTGTCTACAACACTCACTAAGTCTGAAACATATCCTATTTCGGACTGTAAAAACTGAAGATATTTGCAAAAACCTCAGGGCATTCACACATAAAGAGACAACTGCTACCAGCTGAAATATATCGTGTGACTTTCCTGGATAAACTTTGCTTCTGCATTCTGTAAAATAGGCTTAAACATAATCATCTCAAGGAAGATATAGTTTCTCATGCATTTCTCGCAAGTAAATTTGTGTTTCAGAGATATTAGATTTTCAAATTAAGATGAGTAGCAACTGTAAGACATAGGCAATCTTTCTGCCAATTAAGTTGTCGTTTCTGCTGATACAATGAGTTAAGAGTTTTGCATATATGGAGACGGAGAATATAACAATGAGCATTGGGCGGCCTACTAAAAGCAAAGAGAATTGCATAATCATATATGAAGAAGAACAGCTGATGGCAGAGAATTATGCAGAATGGGCAGCGATATATATGTAGGTGTATGCATCAAGTTCTACAATTTCAGGTTCTCCTAAGAAATATATATTGCCCCAGTACTTGAAAAAATAGTTATATGTATAGAACAAGACACTCTTGCTTTTGTGCTCTCGACCATGGTCTGATTTACTATATTTTAACATTTTCTATAATGTATTCTCTGTGATGATGACATACAAGCAGTTGTTATAAATAACAAATTACAATAGATTGCCAGAATTCTGTACAAAACCCACTTTATAGTGCACTGATTGTTTCTACTATCATTGGTGATCTAGCACTGAAAATGTGATTTTTAATTGCCAGTTCTTCATTTCTGCTTCATATGGGTGTTTAGTTTGCAGAAAGAACATGCACATCCCAGGAGCGCTCCAGGCCAAGCAATCCTGCACAAAGAACAAGATTGGGTTGATAGCAACAATATGGGGAACAAGTCAACTAAGGTGGTGTAAGCTAGCATGACATGTATGGTTGGAAGCACAAGTGTTAGCTGTTTGGGTAGTCTCTATGCCCATTTCTTCACATGGCATGTTATTTACCAATTGGGTTGCAATTTACTTTCAGTTTCTCGGAGCGCAAGGAATCCATCTTAAGATGTGACACTCCTCTCAGTGCATTTTGCTTCAGTTAGTGAACAATTACCCGATTGGGTTGCAATTTACTTTCAGTTTCTCGGGGCGCAAGGAATCCATCTTAGATGTGACACTCCTCTCAGTGCTACACCTGGTTTTCTAATATGTACTGTTTTTTTTTTTTGCTTCCGGTCCTCTTATTGGGGACAACTATTCTTTAAATGACTTCATATGAACTGTGGCTTCTAAACACAACTTTTCCCCCAAAATCAGATGTTGTTGTAAACATTCATGGATCTGGTTGACTAAGTATTGAAATCTCATGTAATAGAATTGCAACACTTTTAGTATGTTCTTGATTTTGTGGCTGCTTGCTTTATTGAATTAACATTTGCAAACATCATTTTTTTTGAAATCATATACAATTTTATTTATGATGCATGATTTCCGCATTTTGTTATTGTTCAGAAAATGGTGTTTATTTGTCTAAAATTCCTTCTACTATGTATATGTGTGTGCAGACTTGAGCATATGGTTTGAGATAAAATATGTTGAATCCAAGGAATAATGCATGCTTTGATCCAGTAGCGCCACCAACATCGTCTACGGTGACAATATACCACTCTAAACACGCACGGAAGAATTTGCGTTTGCTATGCAAATACTTCCTTATTCCTTTTCCCACATTTAGTTCAAAAGTTGAAAGAAGTCAGGATGGCATGTGCAATTTGGTGCTGTTGAATTTTCTTGCACATTAGACCAGAAATAGAAGTGGAATGATGTAGGTCAGAAATAAACTTCCTATTGTAGAAGTGTCATTCCTATTTGCCTAAGATGCACCACATATGGTATATGGTGACAATGAATGTACTTTTTGACAATACAACCTTATCAACACAGTTCTGTTACTGTGATTGAATAGACCACAGTTCTATTTATTGCTAGAAGAAAGAAACCACTTATTAACACCATTTATCGATGTGGTGCGGCGTGTCGCCGCGCGGGTATAGCTAGTTATATTGTTAGTACTGAATGTGGATAGATTCTGGAGGTGCTGCTAAAATTTCCTACTAGAGAAAAAAGAAATTATTTTCGGGATTTCTGTCTGTTTAGAATGCGTATTGTGACTTTCCTATCATCTAGGTATGGATTTCAAATGCATATTGTGACGTGACTTTTCTGTCATCTTTGCATTCCTTCCCCTGTTTTGAAAACATTGGCTCCTTTTGTTCTCTAATATGAACTTAGTCTGGCACATTCAGCTGCTAAAGTTTTGCTTGTACTTTGGTATACTCGCTTCTCGCATTGTTGCATCTAGTTTGTGTCACGGCTGTTTGCACAGGACCCTTGCGTAGCTACCGCCTACCTGGTTGCTCCAATCCGTTGGCTCCACATTCGCTTGTTGAGGGTATTGGCCTATTTAAAGTTTTGGGTTTGTCATGTAAAACACAGACGGTTTCTATAATGGAACTCAACGAGGCGTGCTCGTTCTTGTTTTATAAGGTGTGGATTTAAAGTAGGTATACCTCATGTTAGAGTTGAAGTAAATACTTCATACTTGTATAGTTTCCCATCTATTTTGAGCTGCTTTTGTGCCACCATTTATTTTCACATAAAATTAGGAAATTAGGTCATTAGCTTTCAGGTACAAATTCTATCACCAAAGGTACCCCCAGGATGATAAGGTACTCGTCTTCAACAAATGGAGTGATGAATTTCCACAATTAATAATGCAAAGTAGCGGCTGCTTCGGTTTTCTTGTTTCCTTTTGCAATCTGGAAGACACTCAAAAGACAGTTGTACGTTTGCTCACCTCCATCTAGTCCATAGATTGCTTTCGCAATATCTTGACTCGTTTTCGGTGTATCGACAGTTGTTGTATTACACTTTGAACGAAAGATATTGCAGTTTCTGTACAGGTTAGGATAGAAAATCATCAATACATTTATTGAGGGCTAAAACCTTATCAATCTATTGGATGTATGCTGAATTATGTAGTTCAGAAACATCCAACTCTCTCCTACAAAAGGAAATGAAGTAGCTCTCATATGAACATGTATTTAGATCTTCCAGCTCTGTTATGCATGGATCTAACTAGAAGCTTCATTTATTTGGTAGGCCATTATCTTCAGTTTGAGATTCATGATGATACTACCTGTTCTATATAAATAAAAATAAATCTATGTGTATGGCTATTTGCAGTTTTTACAAATCTTTCTTTTCTTCTCAACCTAAAATTTGGTACTTAGTATACTTCTTATTTCCATGTTTCTGGCTGCTTTGTTGTGCTTGTTCAGAATACCATTCTTTGTCTGCTTTGTTGTGCTTGTTCAGAATACCATGGTCAGAATGTTGTCACTAAAGGAAATTTTAATGGAAGCCCCACAGTTTCATTTCTTACTCTAGTTATCTATGTGTTGATTTCTTGTTTGAAACTGTTGGGCGTTCATATTATCAAAGCTTCAGATGTTCGACCCATAAGCTGTTTGCTATAGGGCTTTCTTATAAGTTATTTAACTTAAGTTGAGATATGCATCCTTTCATTGTAGGTTGTAACTGAATCAAGTAATTCAATATGACCCAGAAGGGGGTGTGGCAAGATCTGGTAAAAGCTAGATATTTGTCCAACAAGTCTGTTGCTACAGTGACTTCTAGATATTCTGATTCGCCTTGCTGGAAAGCCCTCCTGAAAATAAAAGACCTATACATGGTGAGGAGGCGGCGAATCACTTTGGGGGTTGGCGATCTGGCCAGGGTGTGGAAAGATTCCTTCAATGGTCTTCCACCACTCGAATTATCCTTCCCGCAGCTGTTTGCAATTTGCACAGACCAAGATTGCACAGTGGAAAATTTCTGTGGTGTTGTACCCTCTTCGTTCTTCAGACGTCGCCTTGACCCAGATCTGAGAGAACAGTGGGAAAAAATGCGTGCGCTAGTTGTGGGAATAAACCTCTCTGCTAATAGGGACTTGGTTTATTGAGCGGGGGCTCAATAAGAATGCCAAGTATACTACTAAATCTATGTATAAATGGCTAGAGAAACCAATTAGTGGCAGCAACTATAGATGGATCTGGGGAGCTAAACTTCCTCTTAAGATCCAGGTATTCTTATGGCAAATGGCCCAAGATGCAGTACTCACCAGATCGGTGATGAAAAAAAAAATGGACAGGAAACCCTGTGTGTTCCTTTTGTGGTCAACTGGAAACGGGCTCGCATTTGTTCGTCTCTTGCCCTGTGGCACGAGTTGCCTGGAGATCTATTGGTGTGGTCCTGGGGATTGACATGTGTCCTAATAATGCTTGGCAATATTATGTGTGGTGCAATATGTTTTTGCCAAATGGAACTAAGTTCTTCACAGTTGGCCTGGCTGCTGTGACCTGGGCCATTTGGCTGGCTCATAATAGAGCTACGTTTGAGAAGAAGTTGATTAAATCTCCTTTTGAGATTGTGTTTTCGGCATGTTCTTTTCTCTTGTATTGGGCAGGAC